TTTGAAAATGGGTTTATTGTATATGTTGATAACTTAAATATTATTGGAACTCCCGAAGAGATTCCAAGCGTTGTAAGTTATCTAAAAAGAGAATTTGATGTGAATATCTTGGGAAAATAAAATGTTATCTCGACCTGCAGTTCGAGCACTCGGAGAATGATATTTTCATTCATCGGTTAATTTATATCAAAAAAGGTTCTACAATGATTCTATATAAAGATCATTCATTGACTAGCCGAGTGGTAGTTCATTCACTTGATATCCAAAAAGACCCTTTTTGACCTCGAGAAGATAACGAAGAACTACTTGGTCCCGAAGTATTATATTTTAGTGTCACTGGTGCATTAATGTATCTTACTAATAATACTCGACTCGATATGGTCTTTTCTATAAATTTGTTAGTAAGTCATAGTTCTATTTCAATATAGCGACATTGAAATAAAGTTAAATAAATACTATGTTATCTTCAAGGAATAATTGATATGGGCTTATATTACTCCAATAAATCAAAGACAATATTAATTGGTTATGCGGATGCGGAGTTATTTATCCGATCCATAAAAAGCTCGATCACAACTAGTTATATATTTACATATGGAGATGCAACTATATCTTGGAGTTACGTGAAGCAAACTATAGCTGCTACATCTTCAAATCATGTAGAAATATCAATTCACGAGGCAAGTCGATAATGTGTTTGGTTAAGATCAATAATCCATCATATCCGAGAGACATGCGATCTATCTATCGGTAAAAAAAGTTTCAACAATATCATATAAGGATAATGCTTGCTTGCATAATTCCATTGAAGGAAGAATACATCAAAGTGATAATCCGAGTAGATTTATTCTTTAAAACATCACCTACCACAACTTTTGAGAAGATTCACAAGATTAGAATGCGTCATCTTAGAGATCTTAAATAATGCATTCAACGGGGAGACAAAAATGGAGATTAATGTGTGTAAGGAATATTAGACTTTTTTTCCTTCACTTGTGATTTTTTTTCCATTAGGTTTTTTCCTAGTAAGGTTTTAACGAGGCATGTTCCTTGTACAATGGACATTCGAGGGGAGTGTTATGAAATAATGAATATCCATCATCATGTTCATCCACTTTTCATATCCCCACTATTTATAATTCTTAATATGATTCAATTCATCATTCAATATGAGAAATTGAAAAGGTGATGCAATTGATTATCATAATCCCTTCCAATTCTCTCTCAATTTTGAAGCCTATAAATAGGCTTGATTGTTCATTAGTTGGTGTACAAGTTTCCCTAGAGAGAATAAGAGAAACTTTGAAATTCTTATCGCTTATATTCAAATTATAGTGATTTCATTTTCTTGTCATCATTTTCTTCAATTCTCTTATTATTTTTATTTATTTTATAACAAAATGAGATTTTTTTCTTTTAAAATAGTGAGATATTATTTTTATTTATTGTGTATCAATTACTTTTATCACCACCATTACTCAACCATTGAAGCCACTACCATTGCCTCCGCCTCCACCATTGATGACGGTGATAAAAAAGAATTAAAGAAACAAATTATTATTATTTCACCATCACTTTTTCACCATCTTTTTTTTTTCTATTGCCACCTTGTATGGTGGTTGCATCAATTTTTTTAAAATATATTATTATTATTATACTCTCTCCATAAGAACTACTTTTGTCATTTTTATTATCATCATAGTTAATGAGATTTTTTTTAATTATTTTTTTTATTCATGTTAAAACTATATATTAAAAATTTTATATGTCATTTTGATTCTTTGTTATTATTTTAAACACGTTATAGAAATGAAAATATCATTCCGATTTTTTTAATATTCATTTAGGTTTTTGTATTTTTATTTCTGATCTTTCAATCCTGATAATTAAATGACACATCATCGTTTAAACCTTTAACAATATTAGAACTATATCAAATTGATCAAAGCAATTTTTTATATCTTACTTTCCCTTTTCTTTTATTATTATTATTATTATTATTTTAACAAGGATCCAAATTCTTTTGAGTGCGGAGCGGATAAATTTCGGACAAATACGTAGCCAGCTCGATATAATTGTTAGTTGAAGCGAGACCCAAAAACCCAGTTGGTGGCCCACAAAGATAAGAAAAGGGTATTCTTCTCTATTTGTAAATTATGAAACTTAAACCACAACTTCAAAAGTTTTTACCAGTTGATTACTCAAGTTGCACTGCAGCTTAAATAAAACATATGAAATGATTTGATATCATATACTATATTATTAGCATACTAAAATATATTGAATTAAAAATTAAAAAATCTTCTAATTTTATAATTTATTCTTTCTTATGTTTTTTTTTTATATAAATTTTGTAGTTGAAAAACACTATTTGTTATTTTTTATGTATTGATTTTTAAATAAAAACTTGCAATAATCTAAATAGAATATTTAATAAAAAATTTAAAAAATATCTTAATATTTTTTTTCATAAAATTGTATAAAAAAATAATATAAAAACTTGGATAAAAATTAACAAATGAATTTTTTTCATTATTTTTTTATAAAAAAATATGTAGATTTGATTTATATATATTTATTCACAAAATAATCAATAATATTAGTGTAAAAAACTATATTTGAATCACTGAATGATTCTCATAAAACATTATTTCAAAGAAATTGATTTTAGAATGTTAAAAAAATTAATACAAATGGTTAGTGTTATGCGTGTTGATACATACTTAATTTTTGATAAAATCAATTATTTGAGTTTTTTTCTTATATATGCATCATTGACCATACTTAGTGGGTTCAAAATATGCAACACAAATTAAAAAAAATAAAATTGTACGGAATATATTAAGTTAATAAACTGAACTAAAAGAACGACAAAATTAATTTCAAAAAAATTTAGTTACAAAAAGAAGAACCAAATAAAACATGTGAATTCAATTTTTTTTTTTTTTTTTTTTAAGATTTGAGACAAATTATCAAAAATATAGTTTTAGCTTTTTAACGCTCATTTAAAAATCATAAGAATGTTAAAAAAATAATAATAAATTATTAGAGTCATGTGTGTGTATGCATAGTTAATTTCTAATAAAACAAATTATATGAGTTTTTTTACATGCATCATGAAAAAACCATTTAAAAAAAATTGCAAGGAATGTATTAAAATCAATAGACTGAAATAAAAAATTTATGAAATTAATTTAGATAAATTTTAATTATATAAAGAAGAAGCAAATAAAACAAGCGAATTTAATTTTTTTTTTAATTGAATTTTCAAGAAGATTTAAAACAAATTATCTAAAATATACTTTTACCTTTTTAACACTCTCATTTAAAAATCATAAGAATGTTAAAAAAAAATAATAATAATAAATGGTGGGTGTTATGCGTGTAGATGCCTAGTTAATTTCTAATTAAACCAATTATCTCTTATTATATACACACGAGACATACATCATTGACCATACTTAATGAGTTCAAAATGTACAACATAAATAAAAAAAATATTTTTAAAAAATAAATTGCAAAGAATATATCAAAGTTAATAAACTGAAATAAAAAAATCTAAAAAATTAATTTAGATAAATTTTAATTATATAAAAAAGAAGTTAATAAAACATGTGAATTCAATTTTTTTTAGAAGGTTTGAGACAAATTATCTAAAATATACTTTTAGATTTTAAACACTTTCATTTAAAAATCATAAGAATTCATCAAATGAATTATATATATATATATATATATTAAATGGTGATATTATAAAATTTTATTCAAAAATCCATACATATAGAAAAATAAATCATATTTATTAACAAATAAAATTATATATAAAATTAATTTAATGATAATTTCTATAAGAAAAAAATAAATAATCAATTTTAAATAATTTGAGTAATATAATCCAATATATATATTTATCGGAAAAAAGATAAAATAATTACATTCTAAAATTTTATTCAAAAATCCATACATAAAGAAAAGTAAATCATATTTATTAACAAAAAAAATTATATACTAAATAAAAATTAATTTTATAAGAATTTCCATAAGAAACGAAAAAATAAAAAAATAATTCTACACATAAAAGTAATATATATATATTCAAATTGAAAATTTTAATTTTTTTTTTAGGTTTTGATGTACTTCTTTTAATTGTTTTATAATTTAAAACCACTATGAACACATTTTTTTCATTAAGATAAACTATATGAATGCAAGATCAGCCATAAAAGAGATCAAAATCAGAGCAAATAGTGGGTTTCTTTTTCATTTCTCTGCATTTAAAGAGCAAATTATGATATAAATAAATTTATAAATCCAAATAAAATATTTGAAAACACCAAGGATCAAAGTGCAATACTAAAAAAATTTGGATATAAATACCTCAATATAACTCAATATTTACAAAAAATACTGCTGTATAATATATATATATATTAAATGAACAGTAAATAAATAGCATTTTATAAATATATGAATAGTACAGTGCATATTAAATAGTTTAAATCTTTTAGTGTTTTTTTCTTCTTCTTTATTATTAGCTCTTAACTAATCAGGCACAATCTGGGTTACTTACCTTCGGCATTTACCTCTTCATGTAATCGTCCAAATCCAATCAGACAACTGGACATCTTTTTTGCGGTTCCTCTGTACTACACCAAAATCTACGGTCATTAGTTCAGTCTTTTAAGGTGCCATATAAGCAGCCCATTTTAGTTGAGCAGCTTTTAGCATATATACGCCGATGAAATAAATCCTTTAATTCATAAAAAAAAATTGAAAAAGAAAAGAAAAGACGCTGCTCTTCTATAGGATCAGAAGCAAACATGAATTAATTAACTACTTTCATTGTTGATTTGTTACGGTGGCAGCCAGGCCAAAATGACTCAGGACGTGATTCATTAGGAGCAACTAAAATGGAGCAAAATGACTTTTGCCCCAAGAAATTCACAAAGATTAAACTCACAAACATTAAAAATCTTTCCATGGAAAGAGAAAACTTGACACTACATACAATTAAACACTAAATCTGATCTAACTAGAGGGGGAAGTTTAAGACAGAGATCAATCCCTACATCATCATCTGCGGAACAAAATTTACCAGGTACTTGAATAAAAGATGGCATTGTAGCTGCAACATGTAATGGTTGCGTGATATAAATTTGAGAAGGAAAGTGATGATCAGGAGGAGATGATGGAAACAACAAGGGCTGCGATGGGTAATAGCTTGCTAACTGAGGCCTAAATTTAGCAGTAGTACTATTGCTAGCAATTAATCCTCTTGGATAAATGGATGGTGGTGATTTGACAGCATGTGAGCAAAGAACTGGTGCAGCTGCCATGAATCGTCGGTCACAAAGGTATTGGGTACATCTTGCTCTTTGGCGCTCTCTTTTGTGAGCATTTTGGTGGCCTCCTAGTGCTTGTGAGTTGGCGAAAGCTCGGTCGCAAAACTGGCACTCGAATTTCCTGTTTCCTAAACTATTTTCTGTTTTCGATAGGATTTTATGTTGCTCAGTCAATGGAAAACCGAAAAGCTTTAGTTTTGAGGTGGCCTTGTGGTCGGATGGAGTTGAGCTCTCTGCCATCTGTGTCTATAAGACTCTCAGTTAATTTCATGTGCATATACGAGAGTATATGTGTACCCTTTTATAGGGAAATAGTGATTCTAATTTCGCAAATTAAAGTACAATAATAAGAATACGAATCACACTAAGAAAGGTTTAGAAACATTTTTCACCTCTGAATAAGTAAGATCGTGACAAATTGAGACATTTATTGTCAACTTATTAAATTATGTTTCTAAACTATCATATTTTGAATAACTATTATCTGTCAATTTAATTGGATGGTTATCATTGATCCAAAGTTATTTTTAAATTTGCTATTTTGAACGGAATGTTATTTGCATTTTCTAATAAAAAATCAATTTATTTTCAAAAATAATTTAAAAATTTTTTTAGATCAATTTTTAATTTTTTCTTAACCATTAAATAATAATAATAATAATAATAATAATAATTTGGAATGGTTAGTCTTAGAATGATTCTTGAAATATTTGCATGGTGAAATATGTTACACCTGATCAAAGTTTAAAATAGCTTAATTTTGGAAAGCATGTATTTAAATATTTCAGAACCACAATATGCGTGCGTGTGTGTGTGTGTAAATCTACATGACCTCCTTAGAGATTTTCCAAAAAATTGAGATAATTCTAACTTATTTTTTATAATGTATTGAATTTTTATGTTTTATAAAGTAAAAAAAATAATCTTTGGCTTCAAAAAAAAATTAAAATTATTTGTGAAAATGAATTGAATTTTCTTAGAATCTATAAAAAAGTTGGCTTAAAATACCATAAATAAAAAAAATAAAACAGTTTTTTATTAATGATCATGGTCAAATCAAATGGAAGGACAATATTTTTTCAAAACATGATAGTTTAAAGATAAAATTGTCTAAATTAATAATACATGGTATCAATGTGCATAATCTCAATAGTCAGAAACAAAAACTGTCATTAAACCCACTAACATAATCATGAAAAATAATAATTGATGGTAACTTTTTTTAACGATTGCTTGAAATTTAATACATAGATAATATAGACAAACAAATTGTCTCCAGCTTGTCGAGTCAATTGTAACAAGCAGGATACTTTAAAGAAATTAGTTATAAGTGATATGGAGTTTTACTTGAAAATTAGCAAATATATACACCACAATGTTCCCAATTTTGTTGAATTAGGTTTCTTGCCAGGTCCCTTGTAAGTAAAAGTCAAATCGAAAGATGCTACGTCTATGGCCCAGATGGCTCTAAGTATTCAAAAGTTGACTGTTAGAGGCCCCCCCATCTCTCTCTCTCTCTCTCAAAGAAAATTTAATGCTTAGCCTTAATTTCTATTTAAAAAATATAGTTAAATTAAGAACTAAAAAAAAAAAGAGAGAAAGAATATATAAGAAAATGGGACATAATTATTTTTTTAATCCATCAACAATATTAATTTTACTACAGTATTGAGTTTCTTTTTTAATATTCTTTCACTGATTTTTAAATTTCTTATTTTTTCTATTAATAGTAATTGAGGGTTTTGTGGGTTTAATAGCGGATTTTTGTCTATTAAGTTTTAAAGTTTCAAACTTTTGAATGATACTTGTAATTTTATGATTTTTTTCAAAAAAAATATTGTAATTTACCTTTTTTTTTTTTTTAGAATTTTAATATTTAGTAAAGCACCTTTAATTGTTATTGGTATAAACTACAAAAAAAAAAAAGAAATCCAATAACAATGACAGTGCCTTTTTTAAGAGGCAGTAATGACCATTCCTGTTGTTTGGAGGTAACAGAGATAAATATTCATAATGACAATTACACAAAATATATTTATCTATTCCATGCGGGAAGACACGTTTTGAAAACAATTACTAATTATTTTTTTTAGAATATATATTTGTAGAGTGATGTTAAGTGATATTGATTTACTCTCGTGGAGACTGATGCGTATGGATATGTGAAGTTTATTTTTTTTTTTAACAATCTTACTTATCCACGTTACAAATAAGAACATCTCTTATTTTTTTGTAACTATTCCTAATAAAAATTATTATTGTAGTCGTGAAGATGATATAATTATCCAATCACATAAATATCTGTATTGTATAATTACTTTGGTCTTTTTATTTTTATTTTTTTAATTTGATCATACAGAAACATTTTAAAGCTTGAATCAGTGGGTGAACCAACCTGCTCCTTAAGTTATCTTCTTAAATTTGAATTTAGAGATGACTATTAAAAAAATATATATTTTGTAAATACTGTAATCCGGTCATGGATAACTCTCTTAAACTGGATTAAAAAAAAGTGAAAAATTAATGGGTGCTCGGAAAGAATAACGTCAAAGTGTTACAATTTGAACATTAAGTAAAAAGAGAGGAAAAAAAAAGAACTCCACATGTAATGATATAAATTTATAAACCATGATGAATCCTATTGTGAGTCTTACGGGCGACACATTATTGTCGATCATTTTTCGTGTTGTTACTTCGTTGATTCAAATTCACGCAATAGTTAATTTCGTGTCAATATTAAATCTGCAAAATCTCTTAAAGTAAATTATAAATTAGTCTCTTTAGTTTTTCTGAAACAAATTAAATAATATTTTTGGTTTAAAAATAATTAATTAATCCACATAGCTTTAAATGTATTGTAATTTAATCCTTTTTGTTTTTTTTTCAATTTATTTTTTTAATAAATAGAAAAATGAAAAATAAGTAAAAAAATATGAAAATACTGATGAGAAAAGAAAAAAATTGAAATAAAATACCATTAAATTAATCATAACCAACACTAATTAAAAGACTAATTATTTAGTTTTTTTTTAAAAAGGACTTCTCAGTTCTTTTTGAGAGATTAAAGGGACTAATTTATAATTTACTCAATCTCTCATGGTCCCTTTTTTAGGGTCCTTCATCGGCGTGAGGTAATTTTAAGGTTGTCCGTCATCTTGAAATGTTGTGTTCCAGCCTGTCAAATGGGCGTGGCATTCACCCATAAAAATAGAAAAACAAATTGGCGTGGCATAAAGGACATGAATGAAATGTGATCGTACGCGGTAAGGATGAGGCTGGCTGTCCCTCTTTAACAATGTATCTCCTTTTTTTTTTTTTTTGAATATAACTGTTTCTTTCAATCAATTTGTATATAAATTAAGATTAAATTCTTTCTCAAATATTCTTAAAAATATATTTTTATATCAATTTAATACATGAAGAAAAATTTAATAATGTATCTTATTCTACGTGTGTGCATCCAAAGTTTCAGAAATTTATAACTTTAGTGAGTACGAAGTTATTAGTTAATACATAGTACGTACAGAATATGGCTTTCACCATGCCGATCTAGGAAAGATTTAGTACAGGGAAAGGATGAAATTTTTCCAAAGAAGAAAGGCAGCATACATGCAAGATAATTCGTTGATGTTATTCACTGTTATGGAAAAATATTGAAACTCTATCTTGTAAACCAGACCAGAATGATGATCGGATTATTAACCGAACAAGTACTCCTTATTCTCTAGGTCACACTTTGACCGCCATAAAAAATTCATAGTTTATTATTTTAAACTGATTTTTTTCACAGATTGTTTTAGTATTTTCAAATGATTTTTTTATAGATTCTAATGAAAATTTAATACACTTTCACATATAATTTTGAAATTTTTTTATAAAGTACGATTTTTTTATGAATAATAAAATTTTAATAAATTATGAAATATAGAAAATAAGTGGGAATTATCTAAAAAATTTTGGGAGCTCTAAGGAGGTCAAATTAATTTACATAGATAATTTTAATGCATTTTTATAAATTTTGTATATATGATTCCAAAATTAATCTATTTTCAACTTGAATAGGTGTTACGCATTTGACCATGTAAATATTGTGATAATCATAATAAGACTAGCTAGATAAATTTATTATGGTTTTTTTAGGCCCTTCAATAAAATTGGAATCATTTTAAATTATTTTATATTTTTTTAAGGTTGTAAATATTTAGTGTTTAAGAAAAATTAAAAAAATACTTTTCGATCTTTTTTTTTTTTTGAAAATAGAATATTTTTTATTAATATATGTAAAAATATAAAAAATTAAATCCTTTTAAATAAATTTTTAATCAATAATAATGGTCAAATCAAATAAATGGATGATATATTGATTCAAATAAAAAAGTTTGTAGTCTCGGTGATAATAATTTCTTATAACAAGAGACCATGAGTTCAAATATTAACAGATAAAACATAATTATTCAAATATAAAATTGATCAACTGAATAATTCGAGTCTCCATATGCCATAGCTCTTATAACAATAAAGATAAAAAGATGCCAATATATAGTCTAATTACATGATCCTTATTCCAATTAAAAATTATAAACATAATTATTAATCTCATCAAACCATTCAGGGCGATGTCCTTGGTTTTTATTCACACACACCGCACCGTTCGTAAGAGCAAAACACCTATTCCAAGATGTAAGTACCTTATCAACTCATGTCTACCCCGTCGGCCTAGGATTTGAAGAAAACCTTTTTTTTTTTTTTTTTTTTTGAAGGAGCTAAATCATTTGTTGTACTTGACATACCAATCTTTTCAGCAACGCGGGGTTGGGACGCTGTTACTCATTAGCCCATCGACAAGCGATGCTGTCGGCCACTATAAATTAAGCGCGCATGGAGGGATAAGCACCCTATCCTTCACCTCTCGTGGAGGGTTTGGATTTATCGCAAGCCGTCTCTGGTAATCATTCTTCTTTGACATTAATTACCCGTTCTAAAAAATTTTGCGAGCTTCATAACAAACCGTTCAGTGTCGTAGGTATATGCATGATCTTTCTGGATCTATTCTAGAGTTTTCCTTAGTTTTTGGGCTTGATGGTTATAAATTTACAGTTCTTTTAAATTAGTAAGATAAGAAGACTCATGCTAAAAGAAATTTAGGCAGTGAATTAATAATGGAGAAGCGTAATATATATAAGTGGTAGATGGGTAGGTACGTATATGATTTCCCCTGCAATAGCCGACATGGACAGAGAAATACCAAAGCAGTCCTGAATCTCGAAAGGATTATCGAGTTCGATGGCTTTATATCATCCAACTTGAGGTTCATTTCTTAGGACACTCGTGAACCAGTTCCATATACAGATGCCATCCTCCAGGTTAAAAGCCTGTCTCCACTAAAAAATGCTCCAAGATGCCCCATCTCTTTTCCTTCAACCTCGCTAGTTTACAAGAAATAATTCACACATGTCAATGGAAAATTTCTGATCAGATGCCTAAACAGGCTAGCTTGCCCCCACCACTCATGACTTATGGTGTCAAATCATCATCCCTTTGAATGTTTGGATTCCGGAGCTTAAATCATCTCGTAGCCAAAAGACCCTACTCGATTGATCGATCGGCCGGAATTATGACAGAAAGCCTAGATCGATCATACTTTCATCAGCATGAACTATATTGACCAGCTGCTATGCTTGTACAGTACTGATCATATTGATGGATTACCTTGTTCATAGAAAGCCACCCAACAAATATGTAAATGATTGGGGAGGAGAAATTAATATTAATTTGATATTAATCAAAATCTTATTAATTTTCTCCTCTTTATTTGCAATTTCATTTAAAACTTCAAATGCATTACCGAATTGTAAGTTCATGAGAATATATTTTAAATAGGCAGTTGTTAGGAAGAAATCAAAAGAACCTCGCTATGTTCTCAGGCTTGAACTTATGAGAGCAGCATATATGCAAAGCACATCCTCTAGATATAATCTATCACGCACAAGAAGAAAGGTTAAGATATATATATATATCTGCCCCAATAAATAGGTAAAAACGGAAAATTCATAATGTTTTTGGATTGCCTATAGTGTTTTCTGAAACCATTATATAACGATGCGTCTGATTATAACAAGTATATATAAAAGATATAAAATCTGACGTAAATGCTAGAGTTAATTATAACTTAGTGTATATAGTTTTAGTTAGTAATTATAGTTTCATAGACTATATATTTAATCTTATGTTTTCAGAACTATTTATAGCTTAGTTTTTCCATTTATTTCATATTTTTTTCTGATTTTTTTTCTCTATTGGAAAAAAGAAAAGAAAAGGATTTTTAAGATAAAAAACTACTACATTGAGGATGGTCAATGTTAGCTAAAAGATCATTTAATTATCTTTTTTATCCAATAGACTTATAGAGGTTAGTTAATTGAATTTAAAAAACTATCAAAATTAAGTTATAATTAACTCCAAATGTTAGTCTTAGTTGCACTGGGCAAAAACAAGAAAAATCATTAAAAAAAAACATATAAGAAAAATAATTTTAGGCTTCAAGGAGAGAATCTAATACCATAATACCAATAAAGAAAGTATCGAGAATTGTACGTATGCGTGTACTATTTCAATTGTTACGTGGCTACATAATACAAATCCACACGTCCTGCGAATACAAGTAAATCAAGATACTCCTCAGGAGCATTTAATGATCCCTAAAGATTTGTAATATTCCCAGAATGTTGTATCATAATTTCCTCTGACAAAAATAATGATGTGTACTGGTCATACCTGTTAAAGAATGTATTCCATCCCGCCCGTTTAATTGTACAACAGTGGAACCAAAGTAATACTGGCTTCTACCAACACGTATAGAGACCAAGTGGTAATGAGATCGACAACAGTGTTGTCCTGGAGCGCCTTCTTATCTCATTCGATGACACTGTGCAAGGGAACCTTATTGCCTGCATAAAAGGAAGCTACTTTGTGCTGGCGCTCCTTCGCACGCGTATGTCTAATCCGCGAGTTGCGTCGGTCCATATACGATCTCGACATAAGAGATAATGTCGCTCCAATACGACAAACTGAAACCAATAAGAAGAGCATGGTGGCTGTTCGTGGATAGGACCTAGGAGACCTTGCATGGTGGCTATAAATGCTTAAAAGAGCCTCAACAAAACATTGTACTTGCTCCGATTCTTACAGAGTATACCTACCCTTTTCTTTCTTCTGGCCTAGCAAAAAGAATAATATATATATATATATATATATATATTACACAGCATCCATCATCTATTGTCATTTTCATTTTCGGAGAAATTATTGTTCCATAAAAAGCGTTAACCTGAAGAGAAAAACCTATGCAGGCATTAGCCGCTACTTCGCGTCATATAGAGCACTATTATCTGTGTCTTCATCATGTTGCGAAGTATGTGATATATAGCTTCATTCCATCCATTCAATATTCTATATTATTCATCTTGGTTTGGCTAAAATTTTATTCACTTTAATTAGAGAGTCAAATCATAGATGGAAAATTCCAATCTGGTTCGAATCGGATTATGTATAGTTGCATACTTGCATTCATTTGTCCCAAATCTAATAAGGTAATTTTACTTCTTCCTTTTTCAATTTTTCTTTATTAATATGTAGAATAATTAAAGACACTTTAAAGCAATCTAATTAACTATATAAATTTTGCTGTATTACTGAATTTTTTAAATAACCAAAGGCACTTGAACTGCCTTCTCTCTAAGGAAAAATTATGAAAGATTTATGATGTTAGCACATGTATTTGAAATTTTTAAAATATTGAATCATTGTCACCTTAATTCATCTATAAGAAAACGAAAATTTATGAGGTAAATGGAATTTAAATAGTTTTTTTTTTTTTTGTAATAATGATTTGAAAAAAGCGAATCAAATCAAATATAGAAACATAATTGATTTCGAAAGAGAATTCACTTGAAAAATAAAAAAGCAAGCACGAAAAATCTACTCGAATAGAATAGTGTAAAACAGAATTCACTTAAGAATTTTGACCAAAAAGAAAAAGAAAAAGATGTATAAAAGCATAAAATACAAAGACAATTAACTTAAAATTCAATTAATTGTTTTTTTTTATAAACTTTCGTTTTAAAAAATAACATCGTCAACATACTAAATGTGTTAATTTTACTTGATTTGGTTGCACTCAATAAAGGAAAAACGTTTAGTAAGAAGTTGATAATGAGAGAGAGCACTGAGTCCGTAGGTTGTGGAATTATTTGGAAATTTACCCCAAGTAACTGAGCAAGGCACTGAAGTTTTGTTATTTAATGAAGCCTTTTTTTTCCCTTATGGTAAGGAATCTGTTGCCACTTGATTGCCCAAGCTCCTTGAACAACAAACAATTCAAGTCCCTATGATTCCATCCTTTCTTAACTCTAGACCTGGCTTCCACTTTCTTCCTGATGCCATACACTGTGAATGCGTTATTACTTAATAGACAAAAGTACCGATCGAGACCTCTTTTTCATCGAAAGTTAAGTTCATCGAGTTTTTGAACATTGGTCGGAAAAGATGATACACCAGTAACACCACACCTTAATTTTTGTGGGGTCAAGATACAGTCTTATTAAAGTGTTACTAGATTACATCATGCTTGATTGCAGTATCGTCGAAAGGCCTACCAAAGACCCCTAGCTAGCTAGTTCTTGTCGAAAGGAACTAAAGCCTCTGCTATGCATTTTATGATGCAGCACTAAGACCTTAACGAATGGCTATGAATTGATCTCTTTTGCTAAGTCAACTTTACACATGTTATTGATTCGTTTCCAGCCAGTTAATTAGCGCATTTCTGTCCTATCTCACTAAAAAAGAAAAAAATCCTTACTTTGCGGCTTGAGATGATATCTTAAGATTTCATTCTAGATTGTATTAATCCGAATGCATGAATAATTATCAGATTATGGATTTTTTTCTTGTTGGACAAATCAGAAACTCATAGTTTGGATTTTCAGTCCAATCAGATTCCATGCCTCGCTAATGGACCGCTCCTGTCATAGATAACCGAGACAAGAATCCATGCCCAATAGGATAATTCTAACTAGCCATCAATAGCCACTACAATTGGATGAGATCTGGATAATTAGTAAACATATGGCTTCATGAATGTCCTTATCACATCATTATTAACTAATTGTGCATGCGTAGTTAGATAATAATTTTCATTTAAAAATTCAAAATTTATAAATAGATGTTTGAAAATATTAAACATAAAAAAAAATTAATCTATCACATTTCTATTCAAATTGAACATACCGTCATCTATATAAAGGTTAACAAATTAAATACGATAAGTTTCACCTTTTAAAATTCAAAAATAAATATATTATCAATTATCTTATATACACAATAATTATTTTTCTACAATTTTATAAAGAAAATACATTTCTTTTTAAGAACTAACTTAGCCATAGAAAAGTCTTTCATACAATGAAGAAAGACTTGTTTTTATACATACTAATCATTAAATTAATATTCATCAAATTATATTTACTATTTCATCTGTTCCAAAAAAATATATATATTTTACAACACAATTAATTATATATTGTGAGATAATTTATCGTTATTGAATCAATATTCATCAAACTATATTCATCATTTTATCACTTAAAAAAATTATTTCACAATTAATCATAATCCGAAAATCAGAATCTCGGAAGGATTAGTGATCGTGCTAACCAAATCTGAAAAAGAGGAAGAAAAAGATATGTTGATCCCATAAAAAAGAAAATGCATACGTATGCACAATGTTCACTTTTACTTTGGTGGGGGCTCCCATTCAGCGGCAATGCCTACTAGTACTGGCTACCAGGTTGTGATTAAATGGCTTGGTTGGTACATGCGTCTTCACATATATCTATGAACCAAATTCCGTAATTCGTGTGATTTGTGTTCCATGACGAGCACCGGAAGTTCCATCCAGACCCCAGGACCCTCTTCCCTTTGTCTTGAATAATGGCTCAGAAATCCATCTAGAAAGCATGTCGGCAAAGTTGACGAGAATTGGTAACAAGCGACGAAGACAGGACTTAATTTTCGTGAGCTTAGCATTATCCAAATGGGTTCAATTCAAAGGCGCATCATCATCATCATCTACAGACACAATGTGATGTGAATTGCATAGGTTTTCACAGCTAGCAGCACCACCAATAATTCTGTTCTCCTAACCCCTCCATGCTGACCCAACAACATAGCCCACAAGCCGTGATAAGATTATCTTTGTTTTGAAGTAGATCTTGGTAGGGTAAAGAGTAAACAATCTGCCGTATCATTACCTTTAGAAACCAAATTGACATTATATATCCACACAAATGAGCAACAGCTAACAGTATCTTTCTTCCCTTTGAAGGAGTAAATTATATAGTAGTCCCTTTAGCTTTACAAAATGAATTAAATAGTTCTTCTTATTTTAAAAATTAATTAATTAGTTCCTAGACCACTATTGAATATGGTTAATTTAATATTATTTTATTTTAAAAAAGTCTTATTTTCTTATCAATTTTTTCATATTATTTATTTATTTATTCTTTTTCTATTTTATAATTAATTAGTTCCTTGGCCACCTTTATTAGTTGAAGACATTAATTAGGAAAGAATAAGAAAATAAATCAATATAAATTACAACCCGAAAATATTTTTTTTTCATTCATCTCTTTCCATTTAATGTCTTCGGTTGATCTCGTTGTCTCCTTAATTGATTCTATACTCTAACATAAAAAAAATAATAATACAAATATGCTCTTCAAAATTAAAATAAAAAACAAAAATAATTTTGATTATTAGTTAATTATCTATATATCAAAAAAATAAAGGTGGTGTAGTCCCTTATTTTTTCTTAAGGAAAAACCTTTTTTTTTTTCACTTTGAATTGGTCAAATATTAAGATTTTTTTTTTTTATGAAGGATTAGATCCATTAACTAGAAGTTATTACCAATCGATATTGCACACCATCATTATTTAAAAAAAATAATTGCACATTAGGTTCATTTTTTTATATATTATTTTATTATAATAATTTTTTTTTAAAAAAAAAGCTCTTCATAGTGTTATTGTGATGGGGTTACAAAAATAACACATTTCATAATGGGATTTAAAAAAAATATAGAAAATAAAAAATATAATTTAGTTCATGTAGTTTTTGAATTGTTTTGATTGAAATTTTATAATTTTTTTCATATTGATTGAGTCTTTTTATTAGAATTCTACATATGACATATGTCATACATTTAGAAATATAACATGTCACATTAACTCGCAAATTAATAATATTATAACAAACAAAACAAAATAAAAAGTAAAAAAAAATCAATGTAAAAAAAGTACAGTGTTTTAATCAAAACACGTCTAAAAATATAAAAACCATTTATGAATAAACTCTAAATTTATGCTGTTTGATGTACACATCAACATGTCGGGTGTCAATTTAACAATTACATCAGCAATAAAATCTAATACAAACACTTGATTAAGCAAAAAAATTGAAAATCCATACATTCAAATAGCAAAAAATATATGAAAGTAGGAAAATTCAAATAGAAATCAAAAGATTTGGATACGAAGCTCGTTTATTTAAAAGTAGAGAATTTACACGAAGATTTGATGTAGCTCTTTCTTGCACGCACTGTGTTTCTCAGCAAATACCTGAATTAATGGCTACAGGATTGGCTACTTCCTTCGTAAATTGATATATTTTTTTCTCTTGATGTTTTTTTAAAATTCACAAGAAAGATAATGAAAGAGGGGAGGGAAATGATTGGAGAGATATATATTTGAAAAAGTCAATTTAGAGTCCCAAAGCCAGTAGAGTGCAATGCTCCTTTTTCTCATATTCTAAGTTTTTCACTCCACACGTACTTCCGATCTCTGATCTCTTCTAATTCGGGGAAAATATCCTATTCGGGATTTTGAAATCAAGGATTTTATTTTTAGTCTCTCTTCGTGTTAACCAACGACTATCCTTAGTATTTGATCAGCCTTGCAGATGTTACTACTTTTAGGCATTAAAGTAAATTTCTTTCTTTCTTTTTTTTTTCTCGATAGAGAGATCTTGATGTCTAATAATGAAAATTGACTGTAATTAGAGTTTATAAAGCTCCTATCATGAATAAAATAGAATTATGGTAAATAGGTATCTCTTTACCAAGAGTAAAGCACGAATATATAGGATTGTAACAAAAGAAACAAGGATTACAGTTTTGACTTCTTTGAGGTGTAGAAACAAGCACTAGACAAGCAAAGTATATATAAATATGATGAATTTATAAGATGAAAGAACAACACGATAAAGAGCGTAGGAGTAGAGATTTCAAACACAAAAATTTATTCTGGTTCTACCACACCTACTTCCAATCTCTAATCACAACTTGAAATTCTTCATCCATTATGCATTCCTAATTACACAAGTGTAGAGGGGTTCGTGAGAATTGATTAGACAATTGATCGGCGAGGCTAATAAAAATATAAAAAACTAATGTTGTGACTTGTAGAATCAATAGTCTACCAACCAAGCAAAAATGATGCAATAATTTATGGGATGAGGAACATGCAATGCTAACAAAGCACAAATTGTGTGAGCTGATAGGTGGGTAGTCAAAATTCAAACGAGATGAGATTTAGGTGTTATCCGGTATATAAGTGTAAAAGTTTTGAATGACTAGTTTGGGTGTTTCTTTTAACGAGATCCTCGCTCCGAACCTATCAAGTCAATCTTCCTAATGCATCCTAAAAATAAGATATGGATGCCCCGTCGAATATCCATGTTCATCCTTGCAACCTATGATCTTGTGCTGAATGAGGCTCATCCTCACTCTAATCCATTTGTGATGTAATTTGGACCCTTGTTAAAAACTAAGAAAAATAATATGGATTAACATATAATAACAAAATAACTAAGTCATTTAATTAATTTTTGTGGACAAATTGAAATTATACATTTAGCCTCTCGTATGGAAAACCTTCCTAGCAATGGTGTTTGTACAATCATGTATAGTGAGATGATGATGATAATAATAATAATAATAAAATATCAAAAAATAAAAATAAAGCTTGAAACATAACTTGATTATAATTGTGGTGGACTTGCCACATGTATTTTAATGCTTAGGAATGGATTTTGATATTGAAGATGGCCTTCAACGGGTTCTTTGTCACCACTGGGCCTATACGAGTCTCCATTGACTTTCTAAATAAAATAAAAGGATTCATTAAAAGTATTATAAAAATTTTTGCTTCTTTAATTATCCATATAAAAGAGAAACCATAGTTGCTAAAAAAAAAACAATACTTTACTCGTTGGGGGCAATGTTGCGTGCCATCGAAACCTACTTGTTGGGTGCGGTGTCGTGGTTTAACGAAACGATGTGCTCACACCAGTAGTAGCGGTAATTTTTTTTAATCGTTTGCAGATTTAGAGCTTTGGTTTTTTTTTTTTTTTTCCAATATAGTTGGCCACAACTTTTCAATTTCTTTTTTTTTTTAGGTAAAAAAAATTGTAACAAATAGTGCTTGTCAACCACTTTTAGTGGTAGGCAGTACGTGCCATACCAAAAAAAAAACCATTTTTTTATTATATGTGTGTGTATTGACACACATATACAAAAGTCCGCACAAGCCAACAATTAATGATAGATATCTAGACCAACATTGTATGACTTGATTTTTTTTTGGTAAATGATCACACACACACATAAAAGTCTATGCAAACCATCAATTAATGTTGGATGCGCACACTAACATTGTGTTTTTTTTTACCTAACTTATTTACTCTTTTTTAGCAAGTAGTAGTCATTAGTCCTTTTTTCGTGGTAGACAATTGATCATCATTTTTTTCTATAATTGGATTTTCTAAAAAAATTAACTAAGTATATGTAGAGAATTTATTTGATAGATGGTATAAGTAGAGAACTTTCTTGATAAATAAATAATCCTCAAGTATCATGATAGGTACACTCATATGCTACTTATTTGACATATAGATAATTTTTTATTGTGATACCAAATGTACTCACCTACTATTTCTCTCGCTAAAAATTTAGCTAATTATATGTACTTTTTTTTTTAGTCAAAATTTGAAAAAAAGCAACCCCCAAATGAGGTAACTCATCAATATAAAATACATGTTTGACAACAATAATAATCATATAAGATTCTATAAGCTAATAAGTATATAGATCACTCTTAGAGTTGTTCAAATCTTAAATGCCATTATTTTAAGTGAATACTTGAAGAGACAAACAATTCTTGAAAGCTTCCTGGCTCATTTTTGACTTTTCACTCCATCAATTGAAGGAAAAAAAAAAAGGCTATCTTGAGCGATTAAATAGTAATGATGTGATTGATTTTTTTTTAGAATAAACTCTTTTTATCATGGCTTTGGCTAGCACACATTTGACCAAATGAAACATGATATTGCCATTATAAAGTATAACAAGAACATGAATTATGAAATTCTTTGTCCATTACTTTGGCTAGCACAAAACTTGACTAATGGAACATGATATTACCACTAGAGAGTATAACGAGAATATGAATTATAAAATTCTCATATGCAACTTGGTTATAAGAAGATGGTGTTGCTATCAAAAAGAAAAAAAATTAAGTTTGAAATACTCACAACCTAGCCAATGCGCATCTTGACCGGATGAACATGGTGTTTCCATCAACAAGATAAAAATCGAGTGTGAATGACTCACAACCCGGGTAGTGTGTAACTTGGCCGGATGAATATGGTGTTGTCATAAAAAAGAAAAAGTAAGCGAGGAAAAACTCAAAACATGATTAACATGTAGCTTGGCTAAATGAACATGGTGTTGCTATCAAAAATAAAATTGAGTAAGAAATACTCAAAGTTTGGCCAATGCAAAGCTTAGCCAAATGAACATGGCATTGCCATTAGAAATAAAATTGAGTATGAATAATACCCACATCCTAACCAGCGTGTAACTTGGTTGTATGCACATGTTATTGTCATTAGGAAAAAAAAGCCGAGAACGAAATACTCACAACTTGTCCGGCGCACAACTTGGTCGGATGAACATGATGTTCTCATCAAAAAGAAAAATAAGTATGAAATACTCATGGATTGCTCAGACATGCAGCTCGGTTAAATAA